TTTATTAAAGAGGCTATCTTTTATTTCAGTGCATGTTTTTCTGTTGTTGTTTTTTGTTTTTTGAGACAGGGTCTTGCTATGCACTTTGGGCTGGCCTTGAACTCACTTTGTAGCCCAGGCTGGCCTCGAACTTGCATGATCTTCCTGCCTCAGCCTCCCGAGTGCTGGGATTATAAGCATGTGCCACCACACCTGGCTTTCAGTGCACGTTTTAAGCCTCTTTTTTCCCCCCAATGTAATGCTGTTTCTATCACTGTAGCTTTGCAATGTAACTTCAAGTCCAGGGTTATGTGTCCTCCCTTTTTGCTTTGGTTCCCCACGACTGATTTTGGTATTCTGGGTCTCTCCTAGCTCCATGTGAATTTTAGGATTGTTTTCTCCAGTTCTGTGAAAGATGCTGTTAGGATTTTTTCTTGTATTTTTATCATTTATTTATTATTTTGAAGAGAGAAAAAACAATAAAATGATATAAAATTTCAAAACAAAGTGATAGGAAATTAAAATGGTTGTTATATTGCATATTGTTATCTTCAAATTAGTTTCTGAGGTTACAAGATATAGGCATGCAAAATTGATCAAACGATATAAGCACTAACTGTTCCTTTTAATGAACTAATAGAAATTAATTAGTTGTACAATTATCTTAGCTATCTAGTGTGTGTGTGTGTGTGTGTGTGTATATATATATATTTAAATTTTGGCTGGGGTTGTGTTAAATCTATACATCTGTTTTGGAAATGTAGCCATTTTGACTATATTGGTTTTGCCAATCTAGGAACAGGGGATATCTTTCCATTTTCTGATGTCCTCCTTGATTTCCTTCTTTGAGTACTGTAGTTTTCATTGTAGAGGTCTTTAACCTGTTCATGATGGAGTTGAAATTCATATATCTTGCTGCTGGATAGCCCTAATTTGAATACCATAACCTAACATTAAATAGCTGCCTGATTGAACAGTTATGCATGTAACACTGGTAGTTTAAGCCAGTAGAAATGTGTTAACTTCCTTAGGTTAGTTCCTAAGTATATAATTATTCTTGGTCCTATGGTGAATGGTATTTTTTCCTTAATTTATTTCTCTATGGGTTAATTATTAGTGTACAGGAATACTATTTATTTATATATGTTATTTTGTATTCTGTACATTACTGAATTTGTTTATTAATTCTGAGAGTTTTTGGTGGATTGTTTTGGTATTTCATACAGAGCAATGATGGCAAACCTATGGCATGCATGCTATTTGTTTTTCGTTTAAGACAAAATATGTTAATATATGAATTATTTTTTCTAAACTAACAACTCAGTATTTAGATTTAATTGCAGTGTTGGTGCTTTGTGATAAGTAAGTGGGTTTTGGGTTGCAGTTTGGGGACTTGTCTTTTTAAATTCACTATTACTTGTCTGGTTAATCTATTTGTGATAATGGGGTATTGAGGTTCCCTCCCTATAGTTGTGTCTATGTTTATCTGGTCTTTTCTGTGCAGTGCTATTCATTTTATGAAGTTGCTTGCTGCATATATATGTTAATAGTCGGTATCCCTTCCTGATGAATTGTTCATTTAACCAATATGTAATGACCTTCTTTGCCTCTTTTGATCAGTTTTGGCTTGAAGTCTACTTTGCCTGAGTATAGAATAGCAACACATGCTTTTCTTCAGGTTCCTATTATGTGTAATATTGTTTTCCATTCTTTAATTTTTAGTCTAGGAGTTTCTTTCTGGATTAAATGTGATTTTTGCATAGAGTATATGGTTGGATTTTGTTTTTTGATCCATTCTGCCAGTCTATGTCTTTTGATTGGGGATTTGAGGCCCCAGACCTTGACAGTTACTACTGAAATGCATTGACTTACTACTGTTGTTGCTTTATTTTCATGTTGGTGACTCCCTATGTTTCCCTTCACTCAACTACTTGCCCTATCTGATATATTCATTGTATTAGATCTTTTTGTCATTTTTAACTTCATTGTCTCTTTCTAGGGTATCCTTGAGAAATTTTTGGTGTGCTGGTTTAACGGCCATGAATTTAGGTAGTCTTTTTTCTTTTTCTTTTTTTCCTTCTTTCTTTCCTTCTTTTTTGTCAGGGTCTCTCTTTGTAATTTAGCTTAGCCGTGAGTTCACTATGTAACTCAGGCTAGCCTGAAACTCACAGAAATCCTTCTGCCTCAGCCTCCCAAGCACTGAGATTGTAGGTATACACCTCCATGCCCAGCTTTTTACATGCTGTTTCTCATGAAAATATCTTATTTCTCCTTCAATTTTGAAAGATATCAGCTGGGTTGGAAATTTTTTCTTTTAGAGCTTGAAACATGTCACTCCACAAGTCCTTCCTGGCTTTTAAAGTTTGTGTTGAGAAGTCTGCTGTAATTCTAATAGGTTTAGCTTTATAAGTAATCCATTGCTTTTCTCTAACTGCTTTTAAGATTCTGTTCTTGTTTTGGACTTCTGGGATTTTACTATGATGTATTGTGGAGACTTTTCTGATCACGGCCATCTTGGTTACTTTTCTCTTGTTGCTAGGACAAAATCCCTGATGCCCAGAACTAAGGAAGGAAAGGTTTATTTAGCTTACAGTTGGTGGAGGTTTCAATCCATACTCAGCTGGCTCCAAGGCAGAGTGGCACATGGCAGAGGGCAAAACATTCATGGCGGTCGAACACAGCAAAAGCAACCAGTGCAAAAGGGAGAAATGGTGGCAAGCAGCCTCTTTCCCTCCCTTACAATGTATGCAAACTACCCACCCCAGGGAGAGTGTAGCACTCACGCTTATAATCCCAGCCCTGGATCATGGGTCAATCACAAATCCTAGAAGCCACCCCCATGACTGCATGAGGATTTGGGGGGGACATGCAGACACAAACCATAACAATGGCTATTTTAGTTTCTGTATGACTCACTTATCTGTATGTTAAAATCTTTTCCCTTATCTGGAAATTTTTTTTACTGTTATTTCAGTAAACAGGTATCTTCGAATGAGTTTCTTTCTAAGTTCCTCAGTCTTGGGGTCCAGCCAGTCATGATTTTCTCCACGTGGCTTTTGGACCTATGCTCCAGAGGCCCCTCCATCTGTCCTCCCTGGGCTGTGGTTACTTAGCTGAAGTATGTCCTTGCTATCATTTACAGATGGGAAGCATGATTAGCACTTTAGTCTCTGCTGCATGCAGGCCACAGGGCAGGGGTTCAAGTGGATGGTTAGAGTCATGGAGTCTGGTTGCTCCCTTCTCTCCCCAGGTGTTGTCCTAATCCAGGACCAGGTAAGTTGGTTAGTCCTTACCTCTGTTGCTCCATGCTGGGAGGAAACAAAACATAGAGCTATCTTGGAGTTGGTGATGATCATGCCATTGCATCAAGAGGGGCATGCAGTGTGGTCCAGTGTGGGCCTGCCTGCTGGAGTTGGTGGAGGGTAGTGCCACACAGTCCTTTGCTTTCTTTTGTTATTGTTTTTGATTGCTTCAGCCCATCTCTGTGTCCAAGATCAGCCTGACATGTAAACTTAGTCTCTCCACGTTTTTTCTGAGCCTGTCCTTCAGCATGGTCACATTGTGATTGCACTCATTATAGAGTTGTAGTTGAATATCTTACTCTTTAATGTCTGGCTCACAAAAGGGGAAAAGAGAGAAATGAAAATAGTGTCAGTAAGACTAGCTATTTAAATCCCCAGGAAGTCCCTTCTATTTAACGGGAGGGCTTGAAAGATGGGGAGGGATGTCACAACCATTACCACCAAGGATCTGTGTGGACCTCTGTGATCTGCAGTGGCAGGAAGTGACTAGAGCACAGACCTCTGGTCTTTGGAAGATAAGATGATTTTGCCTGCATTGGCTCCTGCTGCTTGTGTGAAGGTTGCTCCCAGGATGTGTGACATAGGATCAGGGTGGCAGACAGGTAGCTGCTAATGTGGTAAGATCAGAATTGACACAGATTAACTGGACTTTTACAGCACAAGCTTTGAGACGGACACTTTAAGTCTTTAACAGAACTCAGAATTTCAGAGTACTTACAGCAAGTAAATTCTGCCAGTATGATTACTAAGCACTTAGGGAGTAGAGTCCTGAGGCTCCAATAATCATCTCCTGTCATTTGTGATTTAGCTCTTGTAATTGGTTGATAATATACAGACAATGTCCATCAACAGGTGAATGAATGGATAAAGAAGATGTGGTATGGACACTCATTGGCATGCTACTGTGCCATAAAGAAAAATAAAGGAGTCATTTCTGGGAAGGTAGATGCACCTTGAGATTATAATGTCGATTGGGATAAGTCAGACACACGAGCTTGAATATCACATGGTTTCTCTGATGTGAGAAACTCAGAACTTGAATAAAGAGCAGAATAAAAAATAGATGATGAGAGTTAGGCAGATAGATCTTCCTCAGAGGGACAGGGGATTAGCAGATGGAGAGAGGGGGGAAAAGGGGGTGAAAAAAGGAATCAAGATGTATCATGTACAGGTACCAACTCCATACAAGAAACGTAAGCATTATGTACTGCACACATGGACAAAAAAGGGAGAGGATGGAAGGATGGATGAAAGGGGAGGAGAAGAAGGGGATGAAAGGGGATGAAAAAGGAATTAGCGTGCATCATGTACATGTGCCAGTTCCCCACAAGGAGGGTAAACATGATGAACTACAAACATATACTAATAAAAAAAGGGGAAAATAAAAAAAAAGAAAGAAAAAAATAAAAAAAAGTTTCTCTAATACATTAAAGATCAAAACATGAACCGAAAAAGGTTATTTTATGAATTTTTCTTCAATATAAACTGATTGTCCACCACACTTCAAATATTGAAGTAGCAATGAAATACAGTTTGAGTTAGTCCAGTGTAAATATCATATACGACGTATCTGTAGACTTTCCTGTTTTAATACATTTTGGTCTGTGATCTGGAAAATTACAAATCAGAAAAGTGTATATTTCTGTTTCACTTTTCTTATAAGCTTCTTCATCAGTGAAAGATGACTGCAGCCACATGGAACTTTGTTTTCCATTTCAGCTCGTCACAGCCACGCTGGATGGGAAACTCCAGCTGTTCCTGCCTGAGTAACCGCTGCCCTGCTGGTACCAGGATCGGGGGCCACAGTGTGGTGACAGTGAAGGGCCATAGCCACCTCCGGACAGAGCGTGGTGGGTTCGCCTTGTTGGATTCCCTTCCCACGGGCCCTTCTGCCCTGTGTGTGCCACACTCAGCCAGTGAGTGTTCCCTTCCCTCGAGGGTCCTTCCCTGGGAGAGCAGGAATGGCACCCCGTGCTTTTGCACAGACTGGAGAGAAGTTAAAGCAGAATATTCTTCAATAAAAAATAAACTAGTGTTTGTTTCATAATTGGAAGTTGAGAAGGAGGGAGGGGAAAAGAAGTAGGGAGAGAGAGAAAGAAGTAGAAAGGGAGAGAAATATTGAGAGAGAGAGGGAGGAAGGAACAGAAAGAGAGAGAGGAGAGAGAGAGAGAAGGAGAGGAGACAGAAAGGGAGGAAGAGGGAGGGAGAGAGAGAGAGAGAGACTGACTTGCTGGCCTGCTGACTCACGTGCTGTGGCTCTCCTGGTGTGTGGCAACCCTACCCGGTGGACATCACGGTGCACATCTTGGCTCTGCGGCTTTCCTCCTGTGACCGATGACTGAGCCACTCGATGCTGAGCCCACAGCTGCCTGGACAAGTGCCTCAGAACCAAGTGGCATTTTTAGGAATCAGTTGCATGTATTGGTCTCCAAACATCCTAGAGCCAAGTCTTTATGGTGTCCTAGAAGACTCAGGATGCTTCTGGAACATTCTCAGTTCCAAAGGCTGCAGCAGTATGTGGTACCTTCCATGTGAAGACTCCAAGGCCCTGCCTAAGAAGATCCAGATCTCATACAATCCTTCCCACCCATGAAACTGGGGGAGAGTGTGCCACTTGAAGGGCTCCTGACCTCCGCCTGTCCCTCTTTTCTCAAGAGAAAAGAGATGGTATGCTGTGAATTACCCCCTGCGAAGCCTCACTGGGGAGACTCCTGGACCCCTTACAGGAATTTCCTCACTCTGAACACAAATATGTGTGTATATTCTTGCAATATTTTTGAGAAATAAATGTAGAATAACTCATTTTTATTTTCTAAAACTGAGATACCTAAATTTTTTATTCATTTATTCTAAGCATAAAATTTCTCTTATTTCGCCAGAATTTTTTCAGTTTTCAAAATTGAGAATCAGTACTCATTAAAACACCAACTCCCTATTTAGCTTTTACCCCAGCCGCTGGCAGCAACCACCGCACCTCTGTCTCTACGAATTCAGCTACCGTACAGCCCGGTGTAGGGGAAATCACGTGGGACTCGTCCCTCTGCCCCTGGCTTGTGTCCCTGAGTACAGTGTGTTCGCTGCTCATCCGTGTTGCAGCCTGTCTCTCTTCTTACTGCTCAGCAGCATCCCGCTACATCCGCTTGTGCATCCACCCACGGGTGGACCTTTGGACTGCTTCTGCCTGTTGGAGAAATTTCAAGTGAAGTTTCTTTCAATCCTTTTATCATCCAACATTCCTGTGAGGAATGTTGCTGTGGACGAGGGAATGCAACCATGTCCTCCAGACTCTGGCTTTGACTCTTGGTGCCTGGTCAGAAGTGTGGCTGCTGCATGTGGTAATTTTGTTTTGCAAGTCTTGGAGGGCACTCTGCTGTTTTCCGTGGTGACAGCACGAGTTTGCATTCCCGCCAAAAGCACACAAACGTTCTGTCACTTTAACATACCCAGTTTTCTTTGTGACTTTCAAAGGATATGTTGGTTTCTGAGTTTTATTATATATTTTTTGGTTTTGTATAAATTTTGTCCAGAGTAGGCCATGATTCCAAGTATGCCAAATGTGACTCTAAGAAAAAAAATTTAAATAATTATTAGTGACTGAATAATATATCAAGAAAAGCTTGAGGATAAAAAATTTTCATTACAGAGTTTGGAGAGAAAACACAGGACAAAATAAACTTAGAAAAGCTACTTTTAAGAGTCCTGTGGGTTCCACATAGACTCTGCCCATGAGGACCTGCTGTGACAGCCACAGCCAGGAGGGCAGAGGGCGAAGGAGGAGGGGTGGCCCTGCCTGTGGGACCCCGAAGGTTGCTGCTGGGTCAGACCTGTGGTCTTCACGACAGAGCAGGTAGAGCTGCTGTTGGCTGCCTCAGAACTCTATCTCAGTGCATTTGTTTTACAGTATTATACGATGTTTCAAGCAAAGGGCAGGTGTTGTGATAGGAACATGTTTGGTGGTACCTTCGCCAGAGAGAATAATAAAAACAACATAATTACACAGGCTTGATTAATAAAAACAACATGATTACATAGATTTGATTCCACTTTGTCACCTCTTTCACTATAACCTGAGAAGTTCAATAGGCTTAATGTTATTAATAGCATCCTCACTTTCCAGTTACTTGGCAAAAGCCGTGTCATGGAGGACAGGTGATGGGATTCATCCGGGAAGGCCTCCATTGTACATCGTAGATCTAATCAGACTGGGAGGAGCTGGTCTTCCTAGGGTTTAGGTGCAGGAACATTCCAACTGTACTTCATCAGGACAGGGGCAGGCACCTGGAGGCTGACGTCTGTGGAGTCCAGGTGTCCAGAGAGGTGTAGATCTGGACATTAGCCAGGTCATCTTGCCACTGTGGCTTTCTGCTTCACGAAGGTCACCCATAGCGGTAGACACAGGAACATGAGCAGGCCGTGACCAATTGCTGTCCACCTTGACATCCACACTGACCCCTCTGTACTGAGTCTGCTTCAGTTGGAAGAAGAGGGGTGAGCCACAGCTGAGCCCAGCCTCCTCAGTCTTGAGTTAGCTGTGAAGGTTCTTTTTGATATTTGAACAATATGATTCATGTTCTGTGGCATGTGTCGTGGGCTTGCACAATGTTGACACATCTGTATTTTTCTAGACATCAAAGCAAGAATGTGATTGTGGTCCCAGGCCTGGCCACAGAGGGGTGGTCTAAGCCTTCTGGAACAAAGAGTTTCTGTTCATTTTTGACATTTCGTATAAGAACATTCTCTGCAGATGTGGGAACTTACTCTTTTTCCCTGGCTTTAGGAGAATTGACTTCTTGTTCTCAGCCCAGTAGAGGAGCATACCTGGTGCTTTCTGTGTGGCAGGACTGTCTTCCTGTGGCACATGTGCCTGGTGGCATGATGGCATAAAAATCTGAGGGAAGGGACAGGCACTTATGGCCAGCAAGTAAAGGCCTTGCCAAAACTCTTTTGCAGACACCCAGTGGGTCTCTCTGGGAATGTGATTAGATTGAACCATTTAAAGTGATCAATATTCAACTGTTTGTGACCAGCAGAAACAGCAGCTTCATGTGGTTCTTCTGAGTATGTCTTTCATGAGAAACAGATAGAACCCTGATCTCTTAGTTGCTTTTTGTATTGCTGAGACAAAATACCTGACACCCAAGGTTAAAGGAGGAAAGATTTACTTAGTTTACAGTTTGCATAACTGGCTGGCTCCAAGGCAGAGTGACACATGGCAGAGGGGCAATAGTTCACGGCAGCAGAAGACAGCAAGAGCAACAAGAGGACTAAAAAGACAAGTCTCTTTCTGTCCCTTACATTGTATCCAGTCTACCAGGATTAGGGTGGGGCCAGTCCAATTGGTGGACTGATTTGCTAATCACACCCCCTTAATCTCAGCACCCTTCATCCAAGCATTGCACTATGATTCTAGATTCAGCCACCTTTGAAGAAATCCTATGACTGCATGAGGCTTTGGGAGGACATCTAGACACAAACCTTAACACCCCCTCTTCCCCTCTCACTTCTCTTCTTCCTGACAACTGCACCAGGCCCTTATTAGGGAACTGCGTCAGTTCCTTGTTCTGTAAGCACCTACCCCAGTATTGCTGCCTGAGGCTTTGTGGTACTCTCAGCTCTCTGTAGCACCAGCACCAAAGGGATGTGCCAGCAAAATTATTGCACACCATGGAGTGTATACCATGGAGATGGGTCGTGAAAGCACCTCACACTAGGGAGAAGGGCCGAAAGAGCTCATGATGCACACTAAGGAGCCAACCCAGTCACCTTCAGGCAAGAGGACCACAGGATGAAGTGCCAACCCAGCTGCTACAGACCCAGGGCAGAGTTGTTGGGTATGCATTTCCAAAATGTTCATCTTTGACCCACATTTGGTGTCACATCTGCTATGCCGTGTGTCAGAAAAGTACCACTTCTACATATTTTTCTTTTGCCTCAACAGATTGAAATGTGAAATTTCTTAAGAACCACCCTGGAATTTATACCAAATCTTTGTATATATCACGGTAGGCAAAACATTTGAAATCAACTCTTTCAAGGACTGGGAGCAGAGGAGAGATGACAATGAATAGCTTTTACTCCACGACATTAATGAATTTCAGAGTGTAGTGATCTATGCAAATGCAATGACCTTGAATGTCTGATGTGCACAGAATGTGATGTGTGTCCTGCAGCCCAACTTCTGTATAGCACGGAATAGCCTGAGACACTGCCATTATACAAACTGCTATGAAACCAGGGCTTGAGAGAAATGACCTCAGGCTTTGAAACAATACAAATTGTAGACAAACTACTGGACAAATCAGGAAATATGTGACCTATTTCTTAGTTATCATTGCAAGCTAATGACGGTGCTTGCTGTTGGTTGTGATAGCATAAGGAAACAGAAAATGTCGAAGTCTTAGGAGGGAGTTCGTGTGCACGGGCTTTGCTGTGATAGTGCCATAGAGCACAGCTTCTCACCTCTCACTTCAGGGTGGGCACAGCTCTGGCTGTGGTGTGGGGCAATCTTTGAGGAGTAGTAAGCCCCTGGCATTTTTACCTGCTTACTCTGCTGGTAGGCTGTGAACTCTCAGGTCTGCACTGAGCTCTTTCTCCACTTTGCTGCAGTAGCTTAAGTGAAATTTGTAGTGCCGTTTAACAGGGATCCTGTGCAGTCCTCCGCAGCACCCCATTGATCTATTCAGAGATAGTGGGTGTCTGGGGATGTAGAAATGAATTCTTATCTTCATTTTCTTCATGCATGCCAGAGTCCTATCTGTAGATCGCAGCAGCAGTTCAAACAGATATCCTATGCGTAGGTCACTGTCTGTCTGCTCCAGTCTTGGGGTCCATTCCATCAGCAGCACCCTCAGATACGCCCTCCCTGACTGGGCCTCAGTCAGTGTGAGCACTTTGCCCTCACCTCCTCCACACCCCCTTCTGGTCAAGAGAACCCACGCCAGGCTGAGAGTCAGGCTGGGAAAACCTGCTTTCAAGAACACACCAGCTTCAAGATCAGTGCTGGATTCCCTGGGCTGCAGGGTTCTTGGGCTGGA